ATATGCCAGAAGTTATTTCAACTCGTCGTCGATGTACTTATTGTAGCACAAAAGAAGAAGAAGAAGAAATAACAGATGTGATGTGTACTTTTTGTGGTGTTTGTTTATGTGTGAAAAATTGTTTTTCTTTGTATCATCAAAACAATGTATATCAACATTGAAATTATTAAATATACAGTCATATAATCACAATTCCTTTTACGTAATGTAACCAAAGGCTTCGTTGTATCATCTAGATGCATACTAGTATGTTTTCTAAGCTTAAATTCAGCCAAAAAAAGTCGGGACACAAAGGGTTTTAAACGAGAATTATTCCTCTGATTCCAATATATATTTCTATTGCTTCATTATAATTATAAGTCAAAAATATTCTAGAAGTAAGAAATGCTCTATTGAAGAGAAAACGAAAAAGATTCTAGCAAAAATATATTTTTTGATCATACGACATAGGGGTGTGACATTTAAATTTAACTAAATTTTGAAACCGAGTAGATAAACATAGTTCTTGACTTGATTTCTACTATTTAAAGTCAAATATATTTGATAAGCTATATAGTTATTCTTCTACGAATTTTTGCTATGAAATATATATAGTTATGAGCATCCCGAAGTTTTTGAAGAAGAAAGGTGACGGATCCTGCATAATCTGTAGAGAAATTTTGACTTTAAATGAAAAATTAGTATATTTACTACTGCTGTTAAGGTCACGTATTTTCCTCGTAGCAATTTAGAATTAAATTAACTTTTCACGAAGTTAAACAAAAATCAACTGTAAATTGACATCCTCAAGATAGGAAAATAATACAACAACGTAGGCATATGACAAGCTCATATATGTTCATAGAAAATATAGACTCTCAAAAAATACAAAGCAAAATATAGAACTATTTTGATGCAAGAAAAAGCATTAGAGAGAACTCTATTTTGTTTCTATAGAATAATCTTTCAGTATATAGATTATTCTGAGGAATTTCTAGGAAAAAAAAGAAAGAATGATCTATTCAAAAGAATTTTACTCGACACTTTCGAGAGAGAGAGAAAGATCTCATCTGATTCCTATACGTTTTGTCTCCTAGTTAATATTCCTGCTAATGCTACATGGAAGCAGAACGGAGTGACTATTGCTGGGGGTAACGGGGAAGGGGGTGCCACTAATCAACTCCACTGGCCTCAAGGTCTCTTCGTCGATGATGATCAAACAGTGGTTATTGCTGACTACTTCAATCATCGTATCATGCAATGGAAGAACGGTGATACAACGAATGGACAAGTTGTTGCTGGTGGTAAAGGCCAAGGAAATGGATTACATCAATTAGATCTTTCACCTGATGTATTAATTGACAAAGAGACGGATAGTCTCATTATTTGTGATCGAGGGAATCGACGTGTTGTACGATGGTCTCGTCGTAGTGGTACAACACAAGGTGAAATACTCATTGACAACATCGCTTGTCATGGATTGGCAATGGATGAGCAGAGATATCTCTATGTTTCTGACATCGGAAAACATGAAGTAAGACAATATCAATTGGGTGAGAAGAATGGCATTCTCGTGGCTGGTGGAAATGGACAAGGTGATGGTCTCAATCAACTCAACGTGCCGACATATCTCTTTATCGATCGACAACAGAATGTCTACGTGTCAGACAACAACAATCATCGTGTGATGAAATGGAATAAATGTGCAAAAGAAGGTATTGTGGCCGCTGGAGGGCAAGGCCAAGGGACTGCTCTGACACAATTGTCTTATCCTTATGGAATCTTCGTTGATACGTTGGGTACACTCTATGTAGCAGACTCGTGGAATCATCGTGTAATGCGTTGGACTCAAGGAAACAAGAAACAAGGCACTGTAATTGTGGGTGGAAATGGCGGAGGAGCAGGAGCAAATCAATTCAACGGCCCCAATGGTTTGTCTTTCGATCGACATGGTAATCTCTATGTCGTCGATTATGGTAATAATCGTGTTCAACGATTTTCTATCGAATAAGACTTGTGAATTGCTTTTTCTTTGTTCGTTTCTTTTTCTATACTTTGAAATAAATGAACAAAAAAAAGAAATTTTCTTTTACTCTTTCGCTTCAAAGAAAAGAAAAAAGCTAAAATATAAGATTACGTCATATGTTTCTTTTCTTCTTCTTTTATTTATTTGTTAAATGAAAAGAAATGAATTAAATAAAAGAATTTGTTTTCTTTCGCAAAAAATAAATTGTGCTTTTGAAAATATTTTATTCCTGAAATAAAAATTTGTATTATTTAAATGAAAAAAAAA